TTGTCAGTTTGAAAACTTCAATCCCCTGATGATTTACTCTAGTAATAAATACTACTTCATTTACTAACTCTACCACCGACTAAAACTACAACAGTACCACAGAGCGGGTGTTAGCGCCCCCTGTGGGAAACTGCTAAAAGGTTTCACGTTCATGGTCAGGACTTCCGTGTCTGTATCTGGAGTCCACTGTCAGTGTTTTATGCCGACCACAGACCAGACCACGGACCAGACCAAGTACTACTAAGTACTAAGTACTACTGCAGTACTGTACTTCCAGTTTTCCTGGAGCGAGAGAGAGGACGAGCAGGAGAACTCAGCAGAGGAAATGACGCAGAAAAATGACATATATCTGACATATATATGACATATATATAGCTGAGAAGAAATATATATATAAATATCAGCAGTCACGGAGGTTGCCCAGCGGCACCATGGCAACAACAGTTTATGGCTACCGTTTTGCTAGTCATTGCTCACCCACGCTGTGACTCCAACGACCGAAAACACGCTGCGTCGTAAGAAGTGATCGTCCAAAGCTGTGCACGTTAGTCAAAGAGCACGGGGAAGTAGAAATGATTTCACTTACTGGTTATTTAAAGGATGTGTCATCGAGATTACATTTCTTGTAGTCTTTTCTTTTTTTTTCCTATTGTAAGCTTTACTTTCCTCACAACCAGCGTCCCCGTGCTCACTGCTCTCCTGTCTCCTGTGGAGTGAAATTGTTCAACTCCCCACTCCCCCCCACCGTGACACGTTTTAGCTCTATGTTCAGCACTTTGCTTTTTAGTCCTCCTGACATCAGAGAGGAAGTGAGAAAAACACCGAAAGTGACAGGAACATAATAAAAGAAAAAAAGACTGAAAATGAAGAGCAATCAGGAAGAATGATGTTTTTATTCTAGACTCCTTTAACGCAACAGGCTTTCCAGTGATACCTTTACGTCAAAATACAGCATGTTGGCTTAAGATCCCTGAAATTGGGTTTTATTTTTATTGTTATTTAAAACGGCAGGTGTAAGTTCTTTAGACGTCGATGTAGAGGAATGTGTAGAGCACACGTAGGGGCGGCTAATACACGCTAACACTAGAAACTGCAGTAGAGAGTGAAGTAATCCTACGTCACTCCATGGACGGAGTATTCAACACTACAGGATAAAATACACGCAGGAGGTAAAAACCGCACCGCGACCCCCCGTGGAGCGGGTCGGTACTACAGTAGTTAGTAGTACCGGTTCATCCAACACTAGTTAACACAGTATTGCAGTATTTACCTGACAGACTACAATGAAGTACTACTACAGCCAGTACTTCATTTTAGACTAAACGCAGCAGCAGCAGGAACATGAAGTCATACCCTGATCATACCACTAGAGGGAGCCAAAACAACCCCAGAGGAACGTGAACCACAGTTTAAGAACCACTTGGAATACTGTGTATTCCAGTATATTCCAGTGTATTCCAGTATATTCCAGTATATAAATATACATATATACATATATATTTATAAATATATATGTATATATGTATATTTATATACTGGAATATACTGGCATATACTGGAATATACTGCAATATATATATACATATATGTATATATATATTGCAGTATATTCCAGTATATGCCAGTATATTCCAGTATATGCCAGTATATTCCAGTATATTCCAGTGTATTCCAGTATATTCCAGTGTATTCCAGTGTATTCCAGTGTATTCCAGTGTATTCCAGTGTATTCCAGTGTATTCCAGTGTATTCCAGTATATTCCAGACTGGCGTTGGACCAGACCTCAGCTCTGTCTCTCAGTCTTTGTCCTTTGTCTTCAGTCCTTTTCACTGATGGCTTTTTAAACCTCAGCAGCACAGAGCCAGTACTCACTGTGTACTAACGAGTACTGCAGTACCATTGTGGTGCAGCTCTCTGCCACCGACAGAAGGCCTGGAGTCAGACGGGTCGCCTGATTGGCCGACTGTGCTGTGTCCACAGTCACTTCCAACGGTCTGAGAGGAGCAGAGGACACAAAGGACAAAGACAAGAAGAACTCCATTAATGGAGGAGTGAAGTGACATCGCCTCATTGGACGTGTGGATCGCTGGGCCTCAACGGTGGGGTCGCGGAGAGCTAAGAGGTCCAGAGATGTCCCGCGGGGGACGACTAGACCCTTACACTCAATACACGTCCACTAAATCATATGTATGTATATATATACAAATATATATCAATATATGTATATATTTTGATATATATATATACACATATATATATCAATATATGTATATATATCAATATATGTATAAATATATATGTATATATATACATATATACATATATATCAATATATGTATATATTTTGATATATATATA